GATTGTTTAGGTAGTCGGGGCATTTGGGGAGGGCCGGCTTGTTCCTATACATGACCTCCAATCAGGGTGTAAGGAAGTAATCACCAACAGACGGCAAAGAAGGGGTTAACCAACAAGACTTTGGGAGAGTCTAGGGGTATAAAAGGCAGAGCAGCCATTCTGTAGGTAAGCACATGGCAGTTTAGTCCTGTGCTCCCACTGCTGATTTTTTTCTCCTTATACAGTCTTCTGTTGTATTTTTTTGCTAAGGTTTAATAAACCTTTGAAATTTAAAAAAAAAGTCGGTGTTGTTTCTCACAGAGGACCAGCTCTCTGAGAGGTTCTTAGTCAAGGTACAGATTTTTTTTTCTTTCTTTCCATCAAATAGATTTTAAAAGAGGGGGGAAAACTACACAACCCAGCTTGGCCCTGAAGTGGTGTCAGTTTGTCTGTCTGTCTGTCAGCTCTGGGATGATGTGCTAGGCTTCCTGCTGGGATGGCACAAACAAAAGGCTGCTGAGGGAGGCATTTGGATAAAGGATCCCTGGTTCTTTCCAGCCTGTGTTACTCCAGATGATGTTTCCAGCCATTGTTGCTGGGAGTGCATTTTTCTGCGGTTTTTTAAAATTCTCACAAATGAAGAGGCTCATCAGTCTTCTCAGCATTGTGTGTCTGAGAAAGGAATGCTGGGAGCAGAGCATTTCAGTGGGATGGGGTGAATGTGAGGAGCTGGAGGAGCAGAAAGGCTGTGTGATGGCAGACTTGGTCTGTTCCACTCTGTTCAGGGAGGTTAATTATGACCCAGAGCTGTGGCCATAGGGAACAGCTCAAAATCTGAGTCCTCACTGCTTACAGGAAAAACTAAAACAAGTTCCAGCAACCAGAGGCTGTAATAGAGCCAGATCCAGAGCACTTACCCCCCCATCTCCAGTGATTTCTCCAGGCAAGGACATTCCGTGGTGTGTGGGCACTGGCTGGAGGAACCTGCCCATGGTCCCATTACCAAGTAGGAAAGGGGGAAATACTCTAGGTTAGAGCCATATCATCTGCTGTCCCTACACAGATCCAAGGCAGTTTCTTCATGGAGGCATGAGCTGGCTGGGCTGGACACCAAGCACACAAATCAGTGCTAATGAAAACCTGTCAGGATTTGCAATCTCTGCAGCTCTGCTCTGTGGACACTGAGCAGCCACTTGCTCATTCCACCATCAAAACCACTGTGTCTTTCCCTCCTGGAGCATTTCAGCCCATGGAGAACACAGACCAGTTGGCTCACTAAGCTGTTCCCTCTCTCCTGCCACAGTTCACTGGCTTTGCTCTGTGACAGAACTCTGGGTATTCTTGAAAGTGCCACTGTATAAGATGTGGGGGCTTTGCTTCAACAAATGCTGCTGCCTCTGGCTGCTTGTTTAGTTTTTGAGAGAAGGTTTGGTGCAGAAGGGAAGGAACTAGCTGGAAAATGGCCAGTGAGTGTGGAATTATGGCAAGCTTGGGAGTTTCTGGGCTATCAGTTTCAATTGGTGAAAGCAAGACAAACAGCTGTGCAGAGTTTGCTCTTGTAATTTCTTCCTCTCCGTTTTCCCAGCCTGAAAACGTTTGCTTCTGAAGATGACTGCTGAACAGGGAGGGAAAAACAAGAACCTAAGGGTGCCAAGCCTTTGCTAGCCTCAAGGCATGATCACTGAGCAGTTGCATGCTGCAGACAATGTCATTCTTTTTCTCCCCCACTCATAACTCTGTTCATATATCATCAAATAATACTGTGAACACATCCAAACATCCCCAGCTTCTTTAGCAGCTTTATTCCACTGGCTTCCAGACAAACACTGGCTTTGGGAGGTTGTAGATGTCACTGAAAGACAAGTTTGTCCTGCAGCAAAGATGAATCAATATGTAGAACAGTTCTGTTCTTAGAGCACATCTTGTAATGTTCAGTTCTGTAGACCAGAGACACGGGAGAGCAGAAAGCACACAGAACACAAGCAAGTAAACAGGATTTGATACACAGCCCTGTGAAGAACGTGCACACAGATAAGTTTATGGCACAGTTCAAGTGCCAGCTGACACCCTTAACACACACAGTGTAAGATCTAGTGACAATCCTGTTTGTTTATGAATTAAAAAAAAAAAAAATCAGCCAAATCTGCCTTTTATATGTCCAGGATGTAATTAAGGATGTAGTGAAGTAGAATTAAATGGACTATTGAAGATCAAAAAGGGCTGACAGAAAACCATCTTCACTTTATGATCCCAGGTGCTGTTTGCTTAAATTAAAAAAGTCATCTTGTTTTTACAGTACTGAAGAATAGAAGAACTTCTGTTGTGGGCATTGATGCTGAGACTGGACACACCAGCAGTGCTGCCTTGGAGTCTCTACACCATAAATGAAGCAGCATTTCCTGGGATTGCAGGTGGGCTTGCAGGTAGGACTGCAGAGAAACATGCATTTGGAAAAGGATGCTGTGGCCCTTGAGAGGCCAGGCCCTGTGCATTGTGCAGTCTTTGCTTTGTATCTTCCTGCCTGTGGGCAGTCCTATGTATCCCAAAAATCTTACTCCTTACAGAGCTGTTTAAGAGACCAGCTCTGCTCTTGGCCTCAGTTTTCACCAGGTCATCCCTGGAGAGTTCCAACACATCCCCATTTCCCAATCTGACCTCATGTTTGAGCAAACCAGTGTCAGTTCTGACAGACTGATCTCAGCACTGGATGGTGAGGAAATGATGCTCCAAGGAAGTGAAAGTCTGTACTCTGACAGGGAGGTTAGGTTTTCTTTTCTTACACCAAGAAGGTGAAAAGCCCAGTTTTTGCATATGGCAAGCCTGCTTTTGGCTAATGTGCTTGCCAGAGATTTGGATATTGCCCCAAGCACATTCCCTCCTGAACAGAGAGTTCAATCTCCACAATCACCAGTGCAGATCCTTAAAAGTAAAGAAATCCATATTTTTCTGCTTATAGGAATTTTTCTGTCTCTTGTGGCTTTTTGGTTTTGCAGTAATGTTACATGGAAGAGATTGAAGGAAAATGTTTCCTGCCTCCAGAATTTCCCTTTGGGACCCCTATTAAGAAAAAAAGTCTTGTAGTTGTGAAACCTGTTGACTGGCTTTGCTGTGACATAAAACAGGCACTTTCAGTTCTCTGGGTATTCAGTAACAGTGTGAGTGATTCTGAGATTTGAGATACTGTCAACAAAAGCTTTTTTTATATCTGAGCTTCATTTTTTTATATGAGCTGTGCAAAAGTAGCCCATGCATAAGAAGCAATATGGCCATCTCCCCTTGAACTTTCAGGGTTCTTGTTTTGCAACTTAACAAGTTAAAATAGTCCTTTGCTGTAAAACTACATCCCTGGTAGAAGTAAACATTTCTCTGCCTGGAGTGTCCATCTTTGCAAATCTTTCCCTCTGCTGGTGGGGTGATGTACTCTGGGCTGCCAAAGATCGATTTCATACTGACTAGAGATTTTCATAACACAGATTCTTCTTTTCTGTGGTTGATTTACACCAAATTTGCATTTTACTTTGATTTCTTTCAAACCAACCACGAGGTACTATGGATGTGTATCTAGCCATCAGCATTTGGGGGGCAGGGATTGATTCTGGATCAGAGGTGCAAGCAATTATTGCATGAAGAATATATATTTGTGGTTATATCTAAAACCCTGGGCAGGTGTTGGTATGAAATTCCTGGATTGTAACTATGGCCACTTACGTAGTTCACGTGCACTCCCAGTGGTGCTTCTTCCAGGCTAGAGGCAAAGGGTTTCTGTTTTAGGGTAGACCAGTGTCATTAAGAACAATATGGGAAACTGTTGGGAAGGATGAATTAGGGAAACCTTATAAATACGAATGCCTAGCAAAAGACTGAGAATATGGAAAATATAAGCGAAATAGAAATTATAGCAATTTTCGACTGTGTGGCTGAAAGCAACTGAATGCCTGCAGGCCCCTTTGTTTAGACAATGTTAGATGCTGCCAATACCAAAAAGCAAACAGACATCCTCCCTAGGCATGGCAGGAAGGGTCCCAGATAAAATTTAGAGATAAGAAAAGCAGTAAAACATGGTAATATAGTGATTCCTGTAGGTTGCATGCAAATGTGGTTACTGCACTAAAAAGAGAGAGAAAGGACAGCAACACACACGGAGCTCTTTGGGGAAAAAGGGCCAATTTATTGTACAGACAGCCCGGATTTAAAGTGTGTTAGTGCAGCCAGGACAGGACAGTATTCATTGGACAATTGGGAAAAACATCCTTGGGACAGCACCTCAGGATGTATCCCATGGAAAAGACACCAGGGGTTAATCTTTATTATGAATTCCACTCTTTTTTTTCACCATATTATCACCTTGGGAGACTTCCTCCCTAACGGAAGCTGCAGTCAGCTTGTCAGCCTGGGAATGGAGCTGAGAGTCAGGAGAAATCCAGGCCTGAAAAGAATTTCTAAGCTGTAATTCCCTAGCTCTCTAAAAGTGTGTGTCCACATGCAAATGTTAGAGAATTTGTATCTTGTATTAGATTGGTTAGTGGAAATTAGAATATTCAACATAGAAGGAGATTTATTGTATTGTAAATGGGAAAATTTCTCTCTTACGCTCTTATGCTCTCTTTGCTCTTGCTTTCTTACTCTCTCCTCTTACTCTTGCTCTATCCGTCTCTCTCTGTCCTGCTCTGAGCTGCAGCTGCAGTTCCTAGCAGGGCCTCATATATACCCACACCCTACGAAATAAACTGTAAACTTTAAGACCAGAATAAAAGGAGCGCCTGAGTTTGTCCCGACTGTTCCAACGCAGCGATTCCCACAGGAAACTTCCATTGTTTGCAGTAAGAAGAGTTCCTTTCCCCGCTCTTTGTTAAATAAGCTTCTGGTAATAGACAGGAACAGTACAAAACTGATAATCTTGCCTGAGAAATCGGAGCTGTGTGCAGAATGTCTGGGAATGCTGGGAGACAGGGTGTACACATTGTTCCGGGCAAATCCAGAGGGAAGACCAGCCCAGTCCTTCCGCAGACCTTGGTGAGGCAGTGCCTGGCGAGCGCCTCGGGGCAGTGGCAGCAGCTCCTCTGACACTCACGGCTATCTCACCATGGACTGTTCCAGGATGAGGCTCCTGAAAATTGTCAAAGCCCTGATTTGCCTGGTTGTTGTAACTCAGTTCTGCCTCTTCGTTGTCAATTCCAGCTCCTTGTTTGACTTGGCAAAGTTAAAGATTTTCAGGTAAGGGATTTGTTCCTTCGTGGCATGCACTGTCTGGTGTGGTGCTTGTGCTCGCTTTCTCTCTCTGTCTCTCTGTCTTTTTTTACCCTGAAACTTGTACTTTTGATCTGAGTTAGGTGTTTACTTTAGCAGAGCATGGTGTTGGAAGATCCACAGTCAAAAACCTGCTTCTCTTGGCTCCCTATTTTCCAGGGGCTTCCCTTTGTAGCTGTCTAAAACTGTTTTTGGGTCACTAATCCTACCTGTTTTCACACTTTGGCACTGCACAGTATTTGCTTTTCCTGTTGGCTCCCCAGAAGAACCTTATTGAGCCCTAATCCAGATTGCATTGCTGGACAGTGAATTTGTTGGGATGGCTTTGAATTTATGGCAGTTCAGCAGCTGATTCCTAACACAAAATCTTAGGAATTATTCCTAACACAAAATGTTTCATACTGGGACACCAATGTCATCCAGACATGGTATCCTGATACCTATTTTATATAAATGGTCATGTAAATCCTACGGGAATGGGTGTGGAGGGAATTGCAGTGAAATGTCATCAGCATCAGTGGCAGGGAGCACTGCTCCTTGCATGAGCCCTTGCAGACACCTGAGCCTTTCCCAGTACAGGTATGGCTTGTGGATGTGTTGGTGCTGTGTATAGGAGGCACCACTCCCCAGCCTCCCCACCACCCTCACCTGGTCCCAGCTCTCCCAGTGAGCTCATCTGGCTTGCCTTGGTTGGGTTGGTTCTCAGCTGATGTCTGGGCTGGTGCTGTGGGGGCAGGCAGGAGTGAGGCTGGGAACATCTGCAGCTCTTCTGGAGGTGATGAGTTCAACTCAGCTCTAGAAGCTTGAGACCACGCTTTGAGGACAGCTGTCAATTTGGAGAGGTTGGAATGTGCACAAGGGAGGTGGGAGGGAAAGGAGAGGAGGAGGAGGTGTAGAGAAGTGAAGTGAGTTGTCCTTGATCCCAGAGCCCATCAGTGGCAGAGCTGGAACAAGAAGTGGCTCTCCATGTTCAGCTGCTTGAAGCCATTTCCTTCTACTGTAGTTTCAGAGAATGAAAATGCCTATATTTATACAACTTAGGTAAATCACAACAAGGTATGAGCTGTGTGTAGTTGTTTGTGTGGAAGTGCTATTTCTGTACCTCGTATGCCACGTAGAACACACAAAGCAGCATTTTCATGGCTTTATCCTCTCTTTATCCTTGGGCTTTGTAAAAGGGGAGGAAAATGACAGTAAATGTCATTGAGCTTCTGCAGTTGTTTGCCAGCTGGACTCTAGAGCCTGAAATTCATCGAGCTGCTTTGACAATTTGTCTGGATTTAAAATGCTGGTCAGGAAAGCAGAGCCCTGTGAAAGCAGGAGTGCCTGGCCACGTGGGCCTGACTGCAGGGAGCAAGCTTTGGGGTGTGAAGAGCCCTCACTTTTACACTTACTCTCTGGCACAGCATCTGAAGTTAAAGTGTTATAGACTGAGGTGGAATCCACCATGCAAGACAGCACATAGGGAAAGCCTGGGGTGGGGGATGGTTTCTCAACTCCTGTTTCATTTGTTCTCTGCACTTTAATTTCAAAGTTTTAAACATCATCTTAAAAATGCAACAGAAATTCATCGAGGGATTTAAGATATGTCTGAGTTACCTTACCAAATTTTCTCTTTATTTAGAGTGTCCCTATAAAATCTTTCCTCCTTTTGGGCAGTAAACAGTAAGTTTATACATGAAGCACTATGATAGAAAGCACATGCTGCACACTTGGTTGAAACTGGCTAATGATTATGAGAGAGGCAGAGCTGATAGGCCATTTGCTACAACCTCTCTTTCTTAGCCTTGCACGGATTTATCTGATATGAATAATTTTTAATAGCCTCCTTAGTCAATAATTTCCTGAACGCTTTCAGAGTGGTATGACTCCATCAAATTTCAGCAGTAACTGAGCTGCTATCTGCAGCCTGTTATCTGCAGAAGTGCTTTTTCTCCCATTTTTCACTTCGGAAGCAATCCACAGTGTTCTGAAACAAGTGTGTCATGCAAAGGCTGAGAATGAGTGTGGAATCAGACTGCCACAACCATGCTGGTTTATCCCGAAAAGCTTTGCTGTAAATAGAAGCTCAGCTGCAGATATTGTTCACCTTCCTTTTTCCTGTCCTACCCTCCAGCCATGTGAAGAGGGAATGTTTAGGACAAAACCCCACCACTTCTGCCTTGATTTTTTTTTTCCCCTGTGTTTCAGCACAGTCTTGTTGCAGGTGGCTCTTCTGCTGTTGGCAGATGTGTCCTCCTGTCATAACCTTGTACCTGCCTGTGCCTCTGAATCAGGCAACAAGGCAGCTGCAATATTAGAGGCAAGTGCTAAAAATGTAGAGATTTTGCATTTTAATATCTTCACAGTGTCTGCCTTCAGACACAGGTGCCTGGTGAGTGCTGTGTGATGCCCTTGCATCACCTGACCAAGGAGTAGAGAAAGAAGCGCCCTGTGGCCCCAAAAGCTCAAGAGGTGATGTAGGGTAAAGAAGTGACTTTCACTTCTTCTTAGACTTCCCTTCCTGAATTCTGGAAGATCCTCCTGCTCTGTTGCTGAAGCACAGGGCTCTGCTGGCAGAGGAGAGAGGCAGATGGCTGCCTCCATGCCTCCATGGTGTGTGCCATGTCCTGAGCCCAGGATCTCCAAACCAACCCCGCAGTTCTCCGGGGACATTGCCAGGGTCCCTGCCCAGTGCGTGGCAAAGCTGGGCTGTACTGGGTGGCTGTTACTGCCAGTGTGAATGCTTCGTGTGCCAAGTGCTGAGGAGAGAATGTGTGCCTCTGGGATTTGCCTGGTGGGGAGATAAGCAATATTCAGGCTAGAATGGTGTAGGAAGTTGAATAACATTTTGGCAAAGTTTAAAATGAAATTGCTCTAAAGCACAGAGAGAGGCTCAGAGTCAAGAGCACTAGAAATTGGCTGAAGGGTGTTCAGTGTTAAGTGTGTGTGATGTATCTGCTTTTCCTTTGATGGCATTCAGGAAATTGAGCATTTTCCAACATGCCCCAGAGACACCAGAAGTGGACACCCAAGAGCAACAGGGTTTAAACTATTCTGATAATGGGAACTCCAGGAGCGTTTTAAAGGTGGCTTTGGGAGGACACATCACAAGACTCAAAGATGTGGTGGAGAAGACAGTAAGAGAGAAAGGAAAGGAGGAGCAGAAGGAAACAATGAAACCATTTATGGGGGTTAGGGAAGCCAAGGAGAGTGTGTCTGTGAAACCAGCACCGCAGTTGGAAGGAATCAAGAAGACAACAGTGGAAACAACCCCTATGGTGCAGGAAAACAAGGGGAAAACAACAGTGGGGCCATCTCCATGGCTGGAAGAAGCCAAGGAAAAGACAACAATGAAACCACTTCCCAGGGAGACGGGAGGCAAGAAGGCAACAGTGAAACCATCCCCTGGGGTGAAGGGAGCACATGAGAACAACACATCCCAAGATCAAGCAAAACCCAAAGCATCTCCTGCATCAATGAAAACTGTAAGACCTACTCCTCAGGCTGCTGCAGTGACACAGAAGAGGAACCTGAGTGCTGCTAACTTCCCATCTGAGCCGCATTGGGATTTTGAGGACGAGTACCTGCTGGATAACTCATCCCCACCCTCGGTAGGTGGGATGGTGCAGATGGTCACCACGAATGTGCCTCCCCATTGACCTCCTTGTCTGCTGGCCCCTGGGCATGTGTGCTCTTTGCAGCTGGGGATGATTTCAGAGCTGGTAGGTCACTCATGGGTATATGCAGATGCTGGTGGGACTCAGCCAGGAAGACCTCTATATACAACATCTGCATTCACATGAAAACTCAGGTTCATTAAATTTGAGCATCTCATGATTACTAATGTCCAGGAACCTCTAGGAAAGTAGTAAACTACAGCAAAGTTAGGACAGCTTGTGGTGTCTCCTACTGTCTCTGTCCCCATCCTATGCTGGTAACTCTTTGTAAAACTTACCCAGAGCAGTTTTCCCTGGCACTCCTGTTTTGGGAAGGCTTGGAACAGGTGGCTCACCTTCTCACATGTTGTGTCTCACTCTCAAACCTGATCTGTAATTCTGCAGAGAGAGGGAGTTGCCAGAAACACTCCCTCCTCTTTAATTTCCTGCATGGTCAGAGTTTTCCCTTGTTCCTCTGGTATTGATCCAGTCTAGCTCTGGAGGCACAGGTACCAAGCCTTGGACAGTACCTGCTTGAGCAGGAAGGGAGTGTCCCTGTTTCTGGACATGAAATATGCTGTGAGTGAAATGATGCCACCATGAAGCCCGTGACAATGTAGTCCTCAGTGCACTCTGGTGACAGGCAGAATGAGGGCTGTCTCCTCAGGCTGTGGCAGGGTTGTCATCCCCATCCACTGCAGAGAACACAGCTCAGCCATGGAGCACTCAGCAAGGCTTTGGCAACACAGCCATTTCTGGGGATTTGAGCTGGGCTTGAGGGTCCATTTGTTCTCTGTTTTGTCTTTCAGTAGGTGTTTGGGGAAGGTGTCTAGGAAAGAAAAGCCCAAATTGACTCAGCAGAAAATTCAGTGTAGTGGAGCTGTTTGCTTTCCATCTGCACACCCAGCCTCACTCTTGCCAGCTGCAGTGAGACCCCCCCTTGTAGGATAAACTGGCTTGGATTCCTCTCTCAGCTGCACATTTCACTGATTTATTTATGACATTGAACAAGTTGTTGCACATTTTTCTTACCCTTAAAGGGAGTGGCAATGGTGATCTGATTTCATTTGTTTTCAAGTGTTTCCTCAGGTGCACTCTTTGGACCTTGAGAGGCGTGTTCCCAAAAGGGGCTGTTCATTACAGCATGTACATGTTATTGCAGCATATTCTTAGTGCTTACAGCCTTTTTTGATGCATTTAGGTTAGACCTATTACAAATGTTAATTTGCATCAGCTAATGAGGCCCAAAGCCAGTAAAACATTTAAACATGACAGGCCCGTTGTTCTGAAGAGGAAAAGTCTCAGAGACTTAGAGTCATCCTGGCTCCCTTGTAGGTGACTTTTCACCAGCTGGTTATGGATGTAGTGCTAAAATTGTGCTTCATGTTCCTGGTGATGGGGATTGTGAGGGGAATGTATGAGGTACCACTGGAGCTTCTGTGTTTCTCTTTGGTCCTGCCATAGACAGGCTCACAAGCACTGGCACTCAGTCATGTTTGTCACCTCTGCTCATCAGTCAGTATTGTTTGCTTTTTGTTTTTCAAGACCTGCTCTGAATCAGTGAGGGCCAGGGCTGCCAAGTCTGACTGGCTGCGGGATCTTTTCCTGCCCAACATCACACTCTTCATAGACAAGAGATACTTCAATGACAGTGAATGGAACCGCCTGGAGCATTTTATACCCCCCTTTGGCTTCATGGACCTGAATTATTCACGTGAGTCCCTTAGGGCTTGTCAGGATGGGACTTTCAGGCTCCTAACAGGAAGCTTATGCTGAGTAAGCTGGAGGTTTGCAGCATCTTCCCATCAAAGGCATCAGTCTAGGAGGATCTCACGGTGGAAACTCTGGTGGTTTCACTGTGTCCATCCCAAAGGCTCTTGATACTCACCACTGTGTTTGCTTCACAGAGGTAAAGAAGGTCATATCCCTGCTGCCCCCAAAGCCCCACCAGCAGCTGCTCCTGGCCAACCATGACAGCAGCGTGCCCACGTGCATCAGCTGTGCTGTGGTGGGGAATGGAGGAATACTGAATAACTCTGGGATGGGCCAGGAGATTGACTCCCATGACTATGTCTTCAGGTAAGGCAGCCTCCCTTCTCAGAAGATGCACAGCTAGCTTATTGTGGCTAGCCCCTAACTGTGGCTGGATCACTTCATTTCTTCTACTATTCCATTTATTCCCAAGTGCCAAAGTGATGGATGGCAGGAGATAAAAAGTCCAAAAGTAATTGGACAGTTACTAAATATCCAAAGCCTGTGGTCACAAATGAGCCATAAAGAGCCATCTCCACAAGAGGCTCTCCTGCAGATCAGGGTGCCAATCAGCATGGGCCTAGTCTTCCCTTCCTCCTGCCTAACACTGTCTTTTCCTATTAGGAATGTGCATGTGAGGGGTTTCAGTGGTCACCTAACTCTGCTCTTCTGTTTGATTTCCTTGGCCAGGGTGAGCGGGGCTGTAATCAAGGGCTATGAAAAAGATGTGGGAACAAAAACCTCCTTTTATGGATTCACAGCCTATTCCCTGGTTTCCTCTCTTCAGATCTTGGGACACAGAGGGTTCAGCAACATCCCATGGGATAAAGTAAGTGATGTTCTTGCTGTGTGCATGCACAGCTTTGACAGGATGCTGTTTGCCTGTGTGCTTCAGTTCTGCTCTTGCCTTGAGGAGCAGTGGGGCTGAGGCAGCCCTTTAGCATTACCCTCAGTGAGGGAACCTGCACTGCCTTGGCTCAGAGTGAGTGTTTGCAGTGGCAAGCTGTGTCAAAGCCACTCCAGCCTTGTGGCATGTAGAAGGAGCTGCACATCAGATGTTATCTCCATTCTGCTACTGTGAGCTGCAGACTGAAGATGTGTGTCCAGAAACTCAGTCTGCTTGCATTTTTTTCCAAGTGCCATTCACTAATGCTCACTTGTTTTCTTAGCATGTCAGATACATTCACTTCATGGAGGGAGCAAGAGACTATGAGTGGCTGGAGGCTCTTCTGTTCAACAAGAACATCAGGAAAGGATTCTTGAACCTAGGGTAAAACAAACTCCTCTACCCCTCCAGTGACGAGCTCTCTGTTGTGCTCTTTTCCTCTCCCAGTGCTCAACCCTGTGGAGGACCAGGCCAGGGTAAAGCCAGGGGAAAGCCTCCCTCCCCTGGTAGACTTGCAGGCCGAAATCTCTCATTTCCTCCACAGCTCTGAGCACTGCTCAAGTCAATACACCACCTTCCCAGAGGTAGCTGATTTCAACGATGTGTGGCCAGGGCTTAGAGAAAGTTTTGTGGCTTTTGGGGATGAACACATGCTGCTGGCTGGTCTGGTGCCTGTTTATGGATGAATGTCTGGTTTCACCAATTTTTGCCTATACAAACACATGCTTTTGATATTCCTGTCTCCTTTTGTTGCCTCTCCTCCCTGGTCTCTTCCTCTGCAATGCACATAGGCTATGGAGGCTTTGTCATAATGTGGGAAATGTTACAGAATATCTTCACAGTGTTTGTGGTTCTTTTCTTACCATCAAGTGCATCAGGGCTGATCCTTTCTAGCTGTGATGAGGTGCAGGAGCTTGTCTTGAATTTCCCAATTCCTGTCCTTAGGCAGAAGCCCCGGCAGAAATTCGATGAAGATTTCACAATGGACAAATACCTGGTGGTTCACCCTGATTTCCTCAGATACATGAAAAACAGGTGAGCTGTGGGTTGTGTGCTCTACCAGGCTTGCTTTTCCTGGCCAGCACCATCTCTCTTTGTCTCTGGTCTCTCCTCCCAGCTCCCTCCCCTGTAACCACAGTTCCACCACACCAGCAGCCTGGGGATAAGCATCAGCAGTGTGAGCTCAGCTGAAACTCTCTGTGGTGCTGCAGTGGGATGTTAGTGGTAGGTAAACATCCAGAATTTGTGAGCTAGAGAAGTAACAGCCATCAGACAGTTTGCTTTTCTGCATCCAAAAAAGATCCAGGGCTAATTGCAACTTTAAGTGCAGGAAGAATGTTACTGAAGTGCCAGAATAATTGATCTCTAGTTCAGGACCAGCCTTTCATGTTCCCCATTGCTTAGCACCTTGGGGGAAGGCTCTGTAACAAACCTTCTTTCCAGAGAGTTTTCTTGCCTCGAGAAGTTGGTTGTACCCTCAAGCATGACAACAGGCTCTTCTTCAGCATCCCCTTTGCCTGGCCTGGCTGCTGCTCTTCTGTGCCTCTCCAACCCTTTCCACGAGCCTGCTGGCCACTGTCACATGAGATCTGCCCATCATGGGCCACACATGACTCAGAGATGGAGGAACAGGAGCTCCTGTTGTGCCTTGCTTTGGCTGCCTTTACCCTTCAGTCTCCTTGAGAGCTTCTGCCTTCCCTGGAGCCAGATGGCCAGCACTGCCTGCCTGCTCTGCTGTCCCCCCTCTGACTTGGGTCCTTTCCAAGGCCAAGAGGACTCCATGCTATTTTTTCCCAGTGTTTACTCCTGCTCTCCTAACAAATCCTGCCATAACACAGTGCAGCTCCTGGCAGGTTCTGTGACACTCCTCTGCACCTTCCCTATGTCTCGTTTTGCTCCTAGATATGGATGGGGAGCAGGATATACCAGGGAGCCTCAAAGCCACCTCTGCACTGCAAAGCAAAGGACAGATTTAAGAGTAGTGGGCTTTAACCTACGAGATCCTTTAATCCATTCCCTCTTTACCCCCACTGCCTCAAGACCTGCCACTTCCACAAAGCTGGGGCAGAGCTGAGCTTAGGTTGCAGTGCAAGTGGTGGAGAGTTCTAGGCACACTCGTGGCTTCTCTGAAATGCCTCATGTGGCCCCAGTCTGCTGCAAGGAGGGAAGATGCCACATGGGCCACAGAGGGACAAGGTGTGCCCTGCTTGAAACACCACAACCAGCAACTCCTCAGTGCTTTCCTCTCTCCTGCTCCAGGTTTTTAAAGTCTAAAAATTTGGAAAAGCACTATTGGAGGCTGTACAGACCCACAACAGGGGCTTTCCTGCTGCTGACTGCACTCCACCTCTGTGACCGGGTAAGGGTACAGTGATTCTTGCACCCAGAACTGTCTGGAAGTGGGAACAGGGGCAGGGGTGGCTGCTGTCTGCCTCGAGAGTATATGGGCTTATGTCAGCTGTGGAGGAGCAGACTGAAGATGAGAAACATCCCCAAAATAGCTCCCATAAGGGTGGTGAAGCCTGCTGTGACCTAGAGCACATGATCTCCCAGTGAGGGGACTGCAGGATCTCTGGAGCCAGTGCTCACAGTCTGCTCCTTCTGGAACCCCACACAGGGTCACCAGAGCAGCCCCAGCTGGCATCTCTGTGCTCACTCCCCGTTTGGGAGCTGTGTCCTGTATTTCACTTGCTCCTTCCATCCCTGGTACCCATGCCCAGTGAACCCTGCATCTTTCCCAGGTCAGTGCCTATGGCTACATCACAGAGGGGCACGAGAAGTACTCAGATCACTACTATGACAAAGACTGGAAACGTCTGATTTTCTACATTAACCATGACTTCAACCTGGAGAAGCAGGTATGGAAAAGGCTTCATGATGAGAATATCATGAAACTTTACCAGAGAACCTGACTGTGGCAAGGGTCATTGCCTGGGAAATCTGAACAATACCTCACTGTGAAGAGAAGATCACCAGAGCCATTTGCTCGGGACTGCTGGGCACATTTCATCCCCACAAAGACATTTCCCTCCTTCAGCACCTCTGTTATTTCAGAACACTTCAACAAATGTGTGAATGCTGCAGACCCAAAGACCAATGAGAAAATGCAGCATGCCAACAAAGTCCCACGTGGCTCTGCTGCAGGACTCTTGCTGGTTGTTGTAGACGTGGGTATTAAGAGAGCAGAATCCAGGGTGGACATGGTCCCGTGTCCTTTGTGTAATCCAGGCTTTTTCCCTTTGCAATGAGGTGCTCCTTAGGCTGGGGCCACTTCTCTTCTGGGTGCATCCTCTCCTTTAGCAATGCCCATTTTGGAGCTGAGTATTGTCTAAACAAACTCCCTGAGGAGCTGGAGTGGATGGAGGTGGAAACACAGATCCTGTTTCAGGTTGACTTAATTTCTGGGGTGGGGGTTGCACTCACTCTGCTCCCTGCAGATCAAAAGGATGGACTGGACACTTCCAGGTGACTAATTTGAGACAGAATGAGTTTCACATCTGCTCCCCAGTGTGGCTTTGCTATGACACTCCTAGAGGAGCACTGCCATCAACTCAAGGGCTCTCCATGGTGCACCAGACCTTCTGTACCTGGTACCTCTTGCCCCAGGGCTCCCCTGGCTGCACAAAATGTGAATTTTGTGGCATGGACCTGATGTGCCAAGTCCTTGCGTAGCTGGACTTCGTTGTGCTTGGCTCCCAGCTGTGCTCAGAGCACTGTGTTTGTCCTGTTGCCAGAAGAGGTGGGAGCTCTCCAAGTGCAGGGATGGATGCTGTCTGTCCTTGCAGCTGGCTGAAGTGCCTGTTCCCCATGATGCTGGGAGGGGCCCAGCTGCAGCCAGCAAACCTGGAATTTGTTGGTCTCCTGGAAGGGGTTTTGTAAGCGAAATAAATGGCCCTGCTTTGGCCAAGCTGATCTTTCATGCAGCCCTGTGGGTTGTGGTTGTTTAGTGCCCCAGAACCGATGCTTTAAAGGCTGAGATACAGCAGATGGCAAAGCCAGGAAAGGACTGAGAGTAAGTGAGATTACCTCCACCTGGAGAAGCTCTGCAGCTTGTGTGGACACACCTGAGCCTATCCCTGTTCACCTTGCAGGACAGGGATCAGCACCAGCCAAACACCTCCCTGAGGAAGTGGATGAACACTGCAAGTTTGTCCTTGTCCCAGCAACTTCTCTCCAAGTATATCAGATGCTCAAGGCAGATGCATGAAGGGCTGGATGTTTCCCCCATGACACTATGCAGGCAAAAAGCCACCTCCAGTGTCCCAGCAGGTCCAGTGCATCTCCCTGGGGTTAACCAGCTGCACACTCACTGGACCTGCTTTGGTTGTGAGTGTTTTTCCATTTCTGCAGCATTTCTGTTGGGGGTAGCAGCGTCTCCAGGGACTCCCTGGGGTCCAAAGAAGGCATTTCAGCTGGGACTGTCAGCAGGATTTGGAAATCAGGCTTGATATCCTTTTTCCCTTTTTCCTCGTGCTGCAGACAGGCCAGGCAGTTTCTCTTGTCTCACTGAGCTTGTTTGTAAAGGACAACCAACCTCCCACACTGAGAATCTAAATGCAGAATTCAGCTTCTCTGGAGCAGGTGTAGCCTGTGCCTGGCTGCTGTGCCCAGGGAGCAGGGAGTTGTCCAAAATGCACAGTGCCTCTGTGGGCAATGATGGTCCACAGGGAGCCACGGGCTTTGGAGCAGACCAGAAATCCTTCCTGAGCAGCAAACAGGGAAGCCTGAGTGAGGCTGGCCACCAACCTGAGGAGAAACTCCTGTACCCAGGAGCTCTGGACCTGCTGGATGCCTCAGCCCCTCTTGGTGGCTGTGCACCCCATCCCTAGGTGGCCCTGGAGGTGTCCCCTGTCCCCAGGCCCTGCAGGCTGTCCCTGATGGGCTGTGGGTGGGCAGTGAAGCAGTTTTGTTCCTTCCCTGTCCCTCAGGCACATTGCTGTGGGTTGCTTAGTGACCGGCTCCACCGGGTATTCTTCCTGCCTGAATAGGGCTTTTCTCTTCCCCAGAAGTTGGAAGAAGTTTCTCTCAGACCTTTCCCTTCCCCCCTCTCCTCTTTTGTTCCTCCGTCCTTTGGGAAGCAGGAGGGGGCTGAGTCCCACTGAGCAAGGATTCCCCAGTGGGCGAGGGGGCTTTGGGGATGGGCTGGCAGCCCCCAGCCCATGTTTTTCCCCAGTGCCGAGGCTTCCCAGAGACAAGGGAAGGAAACTTCCCAGGAGGCTTTCCCCAGAGCCTGTTCCCTCCAGGCTTATCTCTCAACACAGCTGACTAAGTTTAATGTTATCAGGGATAATCTTGGCTAGAAAAGGGCCTTTGCTGTCGTGTGGAATTTCCCAGCGAGCTCAAACCACATCCTTCCTGATCCCAGGAAAGCAACTCTGACCTGATGGTCCCCTTCACACCCTCACTTTGCTCCTGGCCCCTGCCCCAAGGCATCCCATCCCACTGTGGGCTGGCTGAGGTGTGACACACTGGGTCACATCCCCTGCAGCACGAGGCCAGCTGTGCCTCACCAGAGCCACCTGATCTTGTGGCATCGTGTCCACAGTGGCCACAGGAAGCTGAGCAGGGTTGGAGGTGGCATTTCCTGGCCAACTTCCAGCCTGGCACAAGCTAATGGAACAAAGCCTGCAGAGAGCAGCTACAGCTGGGGCACCGTTGGCAAGAGCCAGGATTCAGGGCTGGGCAAGCTCCCAGCAGAGTGGGTGTCCCAGGGTGAAAGCAGCCCTGCTGGGCTGTGCTGTAGTAGCTCCATCCTGCTCAGTGCCATCCCAAAATCCAGGTCTCTGTGGCTGGCACACTATCAAGACTGTCCCTGTGCCTCCAGGTGGCAGCTCCTGTTCAGGGATCTGTCTTTGTGCCAGGTCTGGCACATCCTGGTGCCACCGTGTCCTGGTGCTGGGCACAGCCCTGCAGCTGCCTCCCATTTATGGCCTGGGGGCTCCCTGGGGTGTGTAGGGACACAGGGAGCAGAGGTTTGGTACCTTGCAGTCACAAGGTGTGTGCAAAGGTGTGACCTTGGCTCCTGCAGCGTGGCGTGGAGCTGACGGTGGGATCAGGTCTGACATCCTGAGGGATGCTCAGATACAGCAACTCCTCCTGCACAGACACAATACCCAGTGCCAGGGACCAGTGGATTCCCCACTGCTAGCCAGGAGCTCTGGGGGCTGCAGGATTTAAACAAGGAAGTTAGATTTGGAGGATAAATAGACCACTGTGCCTCAGCATGTCCAGAAGTTGCTGTTTTGTCAGCCCTGCTTTCTTCAAAAGCTCTTGGAGTGTACCATGAACTGTTATTACAGCTGTGCCAGACTCCTCCTGGGGTTCCTCAAGAGTTAACAGCCTTTAAATATTCCCCACCAGATTGCAGAAACCAAAACCACCCAGAAACTCTCATGGTGTCACCTTCTTGGCAGGGCTTCAAACTTTTTGCTTCATTTCCACCTCTTCCGTCTCTCAGTGTGCCTGCTCACCTGTACAGCAGAAGCAGAGCCCATCCTGTCCTGTGTGTTCACAGAGCTCCTGGACTGCAGATGGAGCAGGGGGAAGCAGACATTGTCTTGCTGGAGGACAGGGATGCATCTTGGGGACAAGTGAGTGGTGCAGAGCCCATCTCATCCCTGCTCCTGGTCAGTGCAGCCCTGCTCTCTGGATCCTCTCTGGGTTTGGCCTCACCAGGAGCAGGGACAAGGTGGGCTCTGCAGTGTGTCCTGGGGTTTGACAGGTGACAGCCAACCCCAAACCCCACCAGGTGCTGGAGGCAGTCACTGTATGTCCCACACACAGCTCCAAAGCAGCCTTGTGCCATTGGGGCACATCCATATTGTCACTCCTGTCTCTTTCCTTCCCAGGCAAGGAACTGAGGCACAGAGCAGCCAGAGCTGAATAACAGCACAAAGCTTCCCTCTAGATGTGTTACTCATGAGCTTCTGTGGCTGGCTGGATGCAGTGGGAGTGTGGCAGAGCTATGTGCCTGCTCCAGGTCAGCACAAAAAGCTCTGTGTTGGGAACTTAGCAGATACTGTTACTGTTCCTCAGTTGCTGAGAGGTTTGGGGCAGGCCTTGGGGGCAGAGGGTGGGAGGTTTCCCCTCCTTGCCTCCTCTATGTGGACCTTCTCCCTTTCTTGGGGATGTGGTAGCAGGTAAATCCAGTTGAACCAGAAAAACTATTGATAATAGGGGAGGGAGAACAAGATAAAGGAGCAGCCCATGGCTTTGTTGTGCAAAAAGCACCAGCTGACCTGCCAGGAGCCCTCACCTCCAGGTGCTGGAGCAGGGCCCTGCAGGTAAACAGCTCCAGGGGGTGCAGCAGGGCTCCTCTGCCAGGCTGAGCAACAGGACCTTGGATGCTGCAGAGCTTTCCCAGCTTGGCCTGGCCAGCCCTTGGAGTGGTCAGTTCTAGAAAGACACTTTCTGAGTTCTAGGGATGTCCCAAGGCTCCCTCCATCCCTCCCACGGCAGCCACAGTGTCCAATGGCACCACACAGGTGGGTGGACAAGGGGCTGGGTCTCCCACCCACACTCAAACATGGTGTCCCCTCTCCCCAGCTTTGGGGACAGAGCCTGGCCTGACCCCGGGGATGTGTGGCTTTGAGCAGACCTCGGGGACTGGTTGTTCTGCCAAGAGCAGGGCAGGATCAGCCCACATCTCTCTCTGGTCCAGAGCTGACAAGAAGGGGGAAAGCAGAGGTTTGCATCATCACCCAAATTTCTCAGAGGTGTTTCCCAGCTCTGCACCCCTCCAGGCATAGCTCAGAGCCTCCCAGGTTGCCTCATGGCACTGGAGAGGGGATGGCCTTTGAACTGTGTGTTTGGCTTATCTGAGCCCAGGTCAGCGGTCCGGGGCTGGCCAAGGGCTCTGCCATGTGCAGGCACCTGTGATAAGAGCCAGGCTGGGCCAGCAGGGCCACGGGGAGCGAGCCAATATGAGCCAGCCTAAGCCACATCCTGTCACTGCTCCCGAGGTCCCGACCTGCCAGTTCAGCCAATGGCTTGTCCCAACAACCTTCCTGCTTTGGGGAAGAGCAGGAAGGGACTATAGGGTGTGTTTTCCTGACGGGACACGTCCTGCCACACTGGCACAAAGATCAGAGAGTCACCAAATCCATCTGGTTGGAAAAGGCCTCTGAGGTCATTGATTCCAGCCTTTGATTGAGCAGCTTGTTAACTAGACACTGTGTCACATCCAGCCTTTCCTTAAACACCTTCGGGGACAGTGACTCCAGCGCCTCCCTGGGCAGCCCATTCCAATGCCTGACAACCCTTTCTGGGAAGAAATTCCTCCTGATGTCCAACCTAGACGTCCCCTGGCACAGGACTGTGTTCTCTCATCCTGTCACTGGTTGCTGGGGAATAGAGCCCGACCCCCAGCTGCCTACACCCAACTGTCAGAGTTGTCGTGAGTGGTGACCTCTTCTTCTCCAGGCTAAACAACTCCAGCTCCCTCATAGGAATGACATTCCATACCTTTCATCAGCCTCATTGCCCTTCTCTGAGCAGTTTTGCTGCACTCCCAAGCCCCTTTCCCCACCTGCAGCGCGGGGGTGTGGGCAGGGCAGAGAAGGGCAGAGCACAGCCCTGAGCATCTCTGATCCCGCAGCCACGGCACTGCTGTCACCCCCATCATCTCCAGGCATCCTCCACGTGGTCACTTCTCCTGACTTGGGCTGTAGTAACACCTACAAGTCCAGCACAAAGCCGAGCAGAGAGTGCCAGGGAGCTCTCTCAGCGGGCGCTTTGCCTGGCCCCGTTTGCCCCGGGCAGGGAGCCTGGCAAGAGGAGCTGTGGCTGAGCTGCTCCCGCTGCCCTCCCCGCCCCAGCAGGCAGGGGCCGTGTGTCAGCCTCCCGGGACATCTGCTGATGAATTTTTCATGCTGCCATGGCCGTGCCTCCGCAGGCAGCCATATGGCCCCGCGGTCTCGGGGGGTGACACAGCCACCCGCTCTGGCCGCCAGGCTCTGCGACTCTGCGACCTGCTCTGTGAGCAGATTGTTGGCACTTGCTTAGATATACCTCTGCCCCGTGCTGAATGAATTTGGATATATAAATCCTCCAGGGGATTTTTGGAGATCTCGTTCTCCCACCTGCACAGTTCATCATGGCAAAGACCATGAGATTTTCCTCCACCAACCTGTGGCTGGCAGCCAGCTGGTGCAAAATATGTTTATTCTCCTCTTGTGCTCTCTAGCCATGGGGAGGGATTGGGTTCTGTTTCCAAGAAGTAATCACTGGAATAAAAGGCCCAGGCTAAAAATGATACTTGCTGGTTTCTATTGTAATTTCTTTTATGTTCTTTTCCTAATCTTTATTTGGCAACTACCATCCAAAAAGGTTTTTCACACTTATTTAACTTCTAAATTAAGTACTACTTAATTTTGGGGCATAGTCCAAAATGCATTGTAGCACAAAACAAGTGGAGCAGATGAAGAACTGTGCATATCATTTTCACCCTGCTGAAAATAAAACCAACAGTAGAAAGCCATATATCATGGAAACAGAGAAATGTGAAGAAACCAGCTCCTCCAGCCCTTGAAGCTGCCACTCCACCAGCATTTGCATGATTGGGCCATAAATGGTTCCAAATGGCAAATCCCTGACTCTCCCCAGGTCACTTCCTCTGGACCATTGGTCATCCATCTGGAGCCAAGCCTTGCTATGTCCCTTGTGACTTACTCGAGCAGTTGGTAATAATTAGCTGTGGTTAATGAAGGGCCAGAATCAAGAGCACATGAGCCAAGGCACTGGATTGCAGGGATTGAATCCAGCAGGTCAGAATGAGCAAGGCCAATCCTGAGTCACACCAGGTGGGGACAGCTCAGGCTGGCAGACCTCTGAGCAGGACCCCAGACTTTGAACCACGCTCTGCTGGCTCTGAATCGTCCAGAAAATGCCTGTCCCCCTGAGGGATGGGAGCAGCTTTAGTGATAGAGGCAAAAAACATCAAATCCCTCCATCCATGCACCCCTATTTCTCTGAGCTGTTTTTTACTACTGGGGTACATGTGAGCCCCTCTTCCTGCCCATCCTTGTGCAGCTTTAGCTCCAGCTGGGCTTTAAGCTCGATTTCATCCCTGTGTGTCCATGTGGCCATGGTCTGTCCTGTCCTTCCAGCTTCTTGCCTGTTCTCTCCTTCCCTGAAACAACTCGTGCCCAGCCAGCCTTCCTGCCACAGCTCCCCTGTGCAACAGCAGGGAGGGTTCCCTGCAAGTTTGCTTTAAAATCAGCCTGGTCAGCATCTCTTAGTGGGGTCCCAGGTCCAGTGGCCACTCCCAGTGGGACAAGGCCAGCAGTGACATCACTGCCAGCCTCGGGCACAGAGCTGCTCCCGTGTTCACACCACAGCCTGGGCACTTGGTGGATGCCAACGTGGTGCCATCCCCACACAGCCAAAATTCCCCAGAGGACCAGGGCTGGCAATGGAGGCATCTGTAGTGATGGAAGCAAGTGGAGATTGAAGCAAACTCCTGTTAAAATGTGTTTTGCTTTTATCTTTCTTTGAACCTGTCTGGGCAGGCTGGAAAGGAAGTGGGGAGTGGTTGGATCTGAGGGGATGAATGAGTGTTGGGGAAAATGCAGCCACAGCAGGACTCGGGAACAGGGATGGGGTTTTGCCCCAGGTTTTGGGGCTGAATAGTGAAAGAGGGTATTTGAGGAGGGACTAGAGGTGTGTGACAGCTTGGAACAACACATGAGTGCTCAAGGAGCCATGGGCACAGGGTTTGGATGGAGCAGGGCTCACCATCGTGCTGCTCCCTGAGTCTGGTTGACTTCCTAAAAATCCAACCCCAAAAATTCCCAATAGTTCAACTGAAAATGCTTGTTTGCCTGCTGAGTCCCTTCCCCCGCTGCAACAAACATTTTGGTATGCATATCCTTCAGTTCACAGGCTGGTTCTTTCGGAGTTGAACTAAAATAACGCCTAGTTAGTCTTTCAAAAAAGAAACTGGAGCACATCCTCTCTGAAAATACCAAAATAATTCATGCAAAATTTTCCCCAAACCCTTTTCTCCTTTCCTCCAACCCAAACTCTTTGTCGAGCTTGCCACAAAGCCCCGAAAGGTTTTGTTTGTGCAAATGCACACCATCCATTCAGCCAAAACGTGGCGCCGGGGACCCGGGGGCAGCACCCCAGCCTTGTTCCCCCTCTTCCTTAGGGACAGCACCCCACCACTGTTCCCCTTTCTTCCCTTTTCCCCCACATTTGCGCCCTCCTGGCGGGTTCACCGGGTGGCTGTGGGTGCGTCACAGAGTGCTGCTATCGGGGACCCCAAGGTCCCGACTTCAGAACCTGATAAGCAGTTTCTGATAAGCACAAAATAACCGGCAAGTGCCCGCGGACACGCTCGGCACCGTGGGGCTGCCGGGTGTCCGTGTGGGTGCAGCCCAAATACGCACGTGTTTGAGTCGGACAAGAAAGTTATAAAAAGAGGAACCCTGTTTATGAGCCGTGAGTGGGTGGTATGAAAAGGAGGTTAAAAAAAAAATAAAAATAAAAAGCAAAAAAGAAAATCTCAGTTCCCTTCTGGTCTGGGTAAATGTTTAATCCCCAGCTCGGAGAAAAAGCAGCTCAAAAGTGCTTTTTTTCTCAGCAAGTCTGAACCAGTCAGCCTGGTGCCTCCTCCCTCCGGCTTACACCCTCCCTCCCACTGCTCCGGAGGAATATCCCAGCCTGCTCCGAAGTGCGGCTGGGCACCCGGGGCAGGACGGAGCCAGCCCACAGCGGTGTCCGCGCCCACCGGGCTGGGAGGGCAGAGGGGCCGGCAAGTTTGTGTGCCCGGGACTGGCCACGCTCCCGCTCGCCTGCGCGGCTCCAGCGGCTGAATTGCTCGGGATGGGGTCCCCGCACTGGAAAAGGCTCTGCCTTTTGCTGCTGGCAGGTTTAACATCCTCTCTGCTCCTCTACAGTCACTACCACGCTACGGTGGAGGCGCCCACTAGCCAGAGGATCATAGCCAGGTAAGGGGGGACGGGAATGGGAGAGGGGTGGGAGGCAGGGATCCGTAAATCCAACACGAGGTGCCGTGCGCTGGGATGGGGAGGGGGAATCGGGGTCTCAGCGTGGACCCCTTAGGGCAGGTGATCCCAGCTCTGCCCCCGGTCAGTTTGGAAAACATGCTGGCATCGGGCTCTGCCCCTGCTCTGAGGAGTCCTGGCCACCGGCTCCTGCCCGCGGCCACCAGCCGAGCCCAGGGGTATCCAGAGCGGGACCCCGAGGCCATGGGGGATCTCCAGGGTGGGATCAGCGCATCACAGCGCAAAGAAACCATTGCTGGGTGCAGGGACGGCTGAGGGTGAGGATCCAACCCGCTTCATGTGCCGGTCGGAGCCGCCGCGTGTTCCCGCCGGGCTGCTGCGGGATCGGAGCCGGCCGATTGTCCTGGGGGAGCTTTGGCCCCCATGGAGCTGCACCGGGGCCCCCTTGCAGACGCAGGGCACGGCTGCCCCGCTCTCGGATCCCCCGGGCTGCCCACACCACTCACCCACTCAGGGCTGCAGCGTTTTCTAAACTCCAGCAATTTGCAGCTCCCCCTTGGTCTGCCTTCCCTGCATCCTCCCAACCTCCCGAGGCCCCTTCCTGAGCCTCCCCCGTGCCCAGCTGGGGTGTCCCGGGAAGCCCCACCGGGTGCGGATGAGCGGGCGGGGCAGGAACCCGCTCAGCGCTTGGGCTGCGGGACAGCTGCCCTGTCCCCTGCGAGCATCAGGTGCTGGGCCAGGAGAGCGCTGTGGGTGTCCCCCACCTCCTCCTGGGTGCTTTAGGGTTTGACAGAGCCCATCAGCCTGGGCGCTGCCCGGGAATGGGGGATGCTGTGGGGACCGGAGCCGGTCCCGTACAGGGTAAGATTTGCAGCGGGATTTGCTGAGGATGCAGCCGGCTGAGCTGCCCTGGGGTTCAGACCTTCTCTCTTCCCCAGCTGGGAGCTCTCCTTGCCCCATCCCATCGTGCCAAAGGCAGAGGTCCCCTCTCCTGCCGGGCTGGTGGATCAGGAGTATCTGCAGCAGCCCGGGCTGGCTGTTGGCTCTTTCCACCCTGGCCGTGCCGGGTGTGCAGCGGTGCCAGCGGCAGCGATACCCGGGACTGCCCGGGGCAGTCACGGCTGGGCTTTGGAGCAACTCCCCACAAAGAGCTTGATGTCCATGAAAGGGGAAATGGGCCCATGAGGGCAGAGGAATGTGCTCATGGACCACACCGGAGCTGGGAATGGAAACCAGCCGCGCCCTGGCACGGAGTCTATGGCCCAGCGACAGCAGGGTGTGGAGAAAACCCATGGGGTGGAAGCAGGGAGCAGGTTCCCCCACCACATGTCAGGAAAACCCTGCCTGGACCTGCTGCAGTCCCAAAGCCAGCCCAGGCTCCAGCCCCTTGACTGATGGCACCAAGGATCAGCTTGTCCGGCCATGGAGAGGGGTGCAGGGTGAGGTAACACAGAGCTGATCTGTGCTCCAAAGCTCTCCTGGACCCTCCTCTTGGCTTTAATTACACCCCTAAAGCTAAACCCAAACCAGAGTGCAGTCTGTTGGCTTTGATTCCCTGTGTTTACAAACACGGCACCCCATGAGTGCTGCCTGTCCCAACAGAGCTGTGTCCCAGCAGGAATTGGTGCTGTTCTGCTGCTGGATGTGCGGCTGAGTCCAGAGCTGGAACTGGGCTGGATATTTCACATGGCTGAGGTGCCATCACAGCACTCATTTCCTGCTCTGCCAGTGGGGACATGAGGGTCAGGGTCCTCACCTGTGGGTGCAGGTGACTCAGTTTCAGCAGGAGGTTTGTGGTATGAGCAGTGTCTCCATGTGGAGGTACAGGGGGAGCTGATCCTCTGATGAGTGATGGCTGCTGCCAGCGCCAGCTCACCCCAGGAGCAGATCCCCACAGCAATGCCAAGTCCTCCTCCAGTTTTGCACAAAGCTGGTGGCCCTATGGAAGGGGGCAAATCCCCTGTTCCCTGCAGAGTAGGGATGGAGGGAGCCAAATCCCCTGGGGCTTGGTTGGGCATAGCCCTGTCCCACTCCCTGCCCGTCCATCTCTCCCAAACCCCACTGGTGAACTGCTGGCTGCACTCGTGGCTTTATTATTAGGGCAGATGGGACGAACATTGCTCTGCCCAGCCTCAATGTTCCACTCCTGCTCTGCACCAGGGCAAGATGCTTCTAGAGCTCAGCCCTTCATGGTGAGATGGAGCAAGAGCGGGTTCTTGTTGCTGTTTTGGCTCCCTCAAATATCTCTATCGGGCCCTGGGAGTATTTGCTGAAGATAAGGCTGGAGTGTGTGCTCACAACACTCACAACACAGCGTTATCTTCCGGAAATGAGGGATGGCCTTGGACCAGAAACGTCATATTTGTGAATGTCACGATGGCGAGGGAGCGCACCCAGGCTTGGCTGGCTCTGCTGCCACCGCCGGTGCCGGGCAGCCACAGCCACTCCTTCCCACAGCCCCATTGTGCATCGGTCGGTGCCGGGCAGGATTGTCATCCTGAGTCAACCAAGCAGCACGGGGCGCTTCACCACATCCTGGCAGGTGACGTCAAAGCGCTTGGCTCCCATCACACTGCAAAGCTGCTGTCTGGTGGGGGGCCGGGTGCCCCACGCCCTTCCCGGCAGGGCTTGGGCAGCAGCAATGCTGGAGAGCTGGCTCCAGTACCCACAGCTGGCAAGCAAGTGCAGGGAGGTGCTGGCACAGATTTATCAGCTCAGCACAAAGCCTGGAAGAAACGATGAGCAGGTGCCACCCACTGTGTCCGGCCATGGGTGGAGGTGGGGCCCAGCTCCCATGGAAGGCCAGCAGGAGCCAACCTGCCTTCCATGATGGGCACAGCCAGGCTGAGCCCCCGGAGCTGCCACAAATCCCTGGCAGCTCAGGAATTAGTGCAGCGCTCTCCCACTGCCACTGCCCAGGGCTGTGCCCTGTGCTGCAGGCACTGGGATGAGCTGGGGAAGGGAAAGGGAAGAAACAGGAGCAGGAGAGCTTGGAGAGCTGGGGTTGGGGCCAGGGGGGCAGAGATGTGCAGCTGAGGCTTGTGAACCAGGTGGGAAGGGCTGGGGAGGTGATGGGGCTGGGAGAGGCTGTTTGGATGCAGCTCAAGCCTGGACATGGTAAGGGTAACAGCCTCGGGGTTTGGTGGGGATTGCACCTCTTTGGCCAGAAAATGGATGGATGGCCAACCCAGAGGCTTTTCATGCAGGGACTTCAGTGCTTTGCAGGAGCCAGCTCTGGGACTGGAGCAGGAAGGTTTCCCCAGTCCCTGGTCCATCGGTTGGGTGGTGGAGGTGTTGATAAGCTCTGCTGTTGAGGCACAGGAGCTGGGGGTCACCTGCACTGTGAGATGGAGGCAGCAAGTGGGGCTGGGCAGCTGCCTGGGGTGAGCTCCCTGCACCCCAGGGCAGCTCACCAGGGCTGAGCCCACTCGGGGTCCAGAGCTCCTGGCTGTGGGACACTTGTATGGGAGAGCTTTGCTCTGAAGAATGCTGTCGGTACCTGGGCTGAAAGAGCAGCTCCCAGAGTAACCACCAGGTCTGGTACAGCCTCTGATGGCCCTGCCCTTGCTGTGACAGACCCTGCACTGCCTCCTGCAAGCCGAGGGAATAGACAAGTCTGCCCAGACTGGGATTAGTTGGATGATGGCAGGATAACACCAGAAAGGCTCTGCAGAAAGCTGCAGCTCTGCATCTCTCTGGGATGGCTCAGTCCCATCCTGGTGGACCTTCTTGGGGATTTGCCCTCCCTCCTCTCTCTGCCTGCTCAGGTGATCTCAGGATGAGCCTCAGGGGTGAGCTGGTGGGGGCCATGCTGTGCTGAGCTCTGGGCTCTAGCGTTGTGTTTGGAGTGGTGTGGGGGGGCTTTGCAGGGCTCTGCTCCTGCTGGGAACCTGGGGACACCAAGGCAAGACACACAGGCTTGATTTAAAGGCTGCCCTGCCCTGCAGCTGGGGCTCAGCCTGCTGCACTCTCAGCATCCCCTGACCAGAGCTGGCAGCACTGGGATGGTGCAAGGAAGGTGCTGGGACTAAAACCTGCCTTTCCATCCATGCCTGGGGAAATGCTCCAGCCCCCAGTTCCAGACCCAGGCAGAGTGCTGGGCTGTCCCTCCATGTTATGCCATGCCCCCAGAGCAGGGTTTGGGTGTCAAACAGGTTTGGATCTGCTCCTGGGCAGGGCTGTGGGTGCTGCTGGTGTTGGCAGGGGCCGTGGCAGGGACAGAAACCCAGCCTGCTGTTCCCCTGTGCCAGGGAGGGGCCGGGGGGTGAAGCTCCAGTCCCCACCTGCCTCTACCTGTCCCCAGGCTCCCAGGCAGGGATCCTGTAACAAGGAGCCCTTGTCTCCTCCACAATACCCCCCTTCTGGCCACAGCACCTGCCGCCCGGGCTGGCAGCGGGGCCGGGGGCTCTGAAGGGCCTTTCTGTGCAGGGATGAATGGGAGCCTGTTCCCCTCCGGTGGGCTCCCACCTCCTGCTTGCCTGCCCACCCCCAGGGCCTAGGTCAGCTCAGCCTGGCCCCATGGGGCTCAGGGCACCCCAAATTGCTCAGGGTGGGCAGCCCCTGCTGCTAATAAAGGATCAGGGCATGCCCAGCTGCCCCCATGGCAGAGGGGGTCCCATGCACCCCAAGAGCCTCCAGACCCCAGCTGCTGATTGCTTCTTCAATATTACAACTAAATGTGTCCTGCTGGCCTGTCCAGTTTATCCCAGCCTGGTCCTCTTTGTACTCAGGAATGGTGAGATAGTGGGAAGAGCCTCAGCAGGATTCCCCCAAGGCTGCAGGCTGGGCTGGGTGTGGTTTTTGGTAAATGGGAGTCCCGGAGCTGGAACCCACCAGCAGATGGTGATTGCACAACTCTGTATTTTTGCAAATCCTCATTTCTCCACTTGCAGATGGGGGTGGGTGGGCGCAGGCAGCAGTGGAGAGGAGATAAATGGAGGGGTCATGGTTCCTGCCCTGTGGCTCTCACAGGTGGAGGATGTCAGGGTGCTCAGTGTCACCTCCTCAGCTGAGCCATCACTTGTCTTCTCCCAGCTTGCTGCAGCCAGAGCCGCTGGTCCTGGCTCCCTCAGGGACACCACACGGAGCCGGCAGCCGCAGGTGGGCTCTTGGAGGCAGCTCAGAGGGGTAAGGAGGGAAAATGCTCAGCCATCCTGGGAGGACCCTGCCCACTGAGGGCTTCCCCAGTGCTCAGCCATGGATTTTTAACTCTGCCATATGTTTCCCCTGTCCCAGTGGGAATTCCTTCAAGCCCTCTGCCGAGCTGGAGGCGCCGGAGCCCAGCAGAAAGCAGGTAATCATTAGCACAGCACAGTAATGTCCATGGTGCCTCTCTGTGCTGGGTTTTGCTGCTTGAAGGGCTGTGTGGGGAGGCTGGGGAGGAGCAGCATCCTCTGGAAGGGGTTTACAGAGGAGCAGCCTTGTCCATCCTACACAAGAGATTCTCCCCAGGCCTCCCTGCTGCCATTCCCCAGTGTGGAGGCTGGAGCCAGCATCACCACTCCCTCCAACCCTCTGACTCCTGGGCCAGCAGTCCAGGCTGGAGACTGGTGGGGATGGACCCAGGGCCTGGGGGGGCTGTTACTGTTCTGTTCCCATAGAACAGAGCCCTAATGGGGCCCACACATTTAATGGGATGCCCACACCTGAGGGTACTGATTCTTTCACACCCTCAGGTGATTCTGTAAGCCCTGGTTCTCCCAGCCCCCTCTGAGCTGGGTGCCAAAGGCTCTTCTGCAGCACAAAGCCAAGGCATGAGGCAATGTCCTGCCTGGGTGACCGAGCAGAACATGTGATGGACAGGAGCGTTTCTGTCCCTGGGTTTGTTCTCACCTTGGTGCCTGCTGAGGGGTGGAGGTGTCACAGGATAGGCAGACCCAGGCTGGAGATTGAGCAGGGATCCTCCTTCCTCCCTCTCAGCCCAGCCCCTGCCTCCACTCGGTGATGGCCAGAGCAAAGGCAGACCCCAAGTTTCGGGAGATCTTCCGCTTCAACATCCCCGTGCTGATGTGGGACCAGCACTTCACCCTGGAGACCTGGAACAGGCTGAAGACACGACACGTCCCCTATGGCTGGCAAGGCTTGTCCCTCGCAGGTACACACCCAGCTGGGATGTGGGACAGCTTGAGGGGACTGGGAGCCCAGCAGAAGGGACTGGAGATGTGGAGCAGGCAGAGGAACCCTGCAGAGGAGCCAGGAATGTTGATCTCTTCACCCCCCCACCTCCCAGGCAGAGTGTGCATCTTGTGACATTTTCCCTGAATAAAAGCTCCAGTGTGTCCATGATTATTAACTGGGGCCGGAGGAGCTCAGACAACCAGCTCCATTGTTGTGCGAGGAGATTGTTTCCCTTCCCACCCCAAACCCACTCTCTGTTCTCCCTGGTAGCTGCCAGCTTCAATCCCTGGGCTGGGAAGTGCTGGGATCAGCGAGTAGGAGAGAACCAGTGGCAGAGACATTGTCAGGAAGGGACGTGGCCAGCACAGGCAGCAGCATCTGCAGGGCTGGGGCTGCAGGTATCTGGATGCAGCCCTGTGCCTTGCACAGCCTTGGGTGGCCTCTGTTTGTAGCAGGGTTAGGAGCACGGGGAGATAAGAAATAGGAGAGAGAAGGAATATGAGGAGGTGACACCAGGCTGGGAGAGGAGGGTCTGTCTGGTGCCCCATATCCCACCTGCAGACCACGGTGGTGGTGTGAGTTTTGTTGTGCCGTGCCAGCTCTGTGCGTGCTGTTGCACGTGCTTGCGTGGGTTGGCACTCACCTTTTCCCTGCTGGCTGGTCACATCCTGCTCCATTCCAGTGGTGGGCAGCACCCTCCAGCTCCTCAACGCCTCGGCCAACCGGCACCTCTTCGACAGGGCCGCCCTCCCCGGGGGCTGCGTGCGCTGTGCCGTGGTGGGCAACGGTGGCATCCTCAATGGCTCACGGCAGGGCAAGGCCATCGACAGCCACGACCTGGTCTTCAGGTGAGGATGGATCCCAGGCAGGATGGGGCTCTGGGTGCTGGGAGATGCCAGCCCTGGACAGGTGTTCTCTGCTTCTCCTGCAGGCTCAACGGTGCCGTGATCAAAGGCTTCGAGGAGGATGTTGGCACCAAGGTCTCCTTCTATGGCTTCACGGTGAACACCATGAAGAACTCCCTCATCTCCTACGAGGAGTACGGCTTCACCCAGATCCCCCAGGGCAAGGTGACACCCTGAGGGCTTGTTGGGGAGTTGAATCAAATTGTCCCTTCAGGCTGGGCTTGCTTCTGAGACTTCTCCCCATCTCAGGAGCCCTCAGTCCTCACCTGCAAGTGTGGGCAGTGTCCTTAACTCCCCTCCAAGTGCCCTGTCTGTGTCCCTGCTGCAGGACCTGAAGTACATCTTCATCCCCTCGGATGTCCGTGACTATGTCATGCTGAAATCCGCCATCCAGGGCAGCCCAGTGCCCGAGGGCTCGGACAAGGGTGACCAGTGAGTAGCACCCCAGGATCCCCCCTGCACCCCCAGTGATGCAGGCATGACTCGCCTGTCCTCACCCCATGTCTCTCCCTACTGGGATAAACCCCAAGGAGCTCCAGGACTCCTATGACAAAGTTCTGCCCTTCTCCTTGCCTTGCTGCAGGCCACAGAAGTATTTTGGACCAGAGGCATCTGCAGAGAAGTTCAAGCTGCTGCATCCTGATTTCTTGCAGTACCTGACAGCAAGGTGAGTGTGATGAGCACTGTGGCTGCTATCTGGCTCTGCTCTGGGCTGGGCTCAGACCACCTCCCTCCCCGCTCTGCTCATTCCAGTACAGACCAGTAGCTGTAGTTCCCCTAGACACTGGAACCACCCCTGACCTGCTATTTGCACACGAGACAGAAGTGTCTCTCCCCTGCCACTCCTGCTCACATCCCCTCCTACACCTCCCTGTGCTCACCTTGTTCTCATTCCCCAAAACAAGTTATGTTTTGTCCCAGTGTAACAGGAGCAAAGGTAAGGCGCAACAGCATGGTCTTTCCTGCCTTTCACAAAAACAGGTGCCCAGGTTGGGGTGGCTACAAATAGCAGAGAGGTGCCTTTTACCAACCTCTGAGTGAGAGCAGCCATCAGAGAACCCACCGGAGCCCTGTGTTTCACTCAGTGCTCCTGCCTTACTGGGCACTGAAGAGGGCTGGGTGGGTGTGAGTCTGGGGGCTGCAGGGCTGTGCCAGCCCTGAGCACCCACAGCCACCGTGTCCCCGTCAGGTTCCTGCGGTCAGAGATCCTGAACACTCAGTATGGCTCCCTCTACATGCCCAGCACCGGCGCCCTCATGCTCCTCACTGCACTCCACACCTGTGACCAGGTAAGGCCCCAAAGGACCACTGTTCCCTTGGGGAGAAGGGAATCCCCCCTTTGGCTGCTGTGGGTATCCTGGTGGCTGTCCTACATGTCCCCTGTCCTTGAAGGGAGTGGTGGTGGTGATGGACCATCCAAGGTGAAGTCTTGACCCTGTCCTCTCTGCCCCACCTCCTTCCCCCCAGGTCAGTGCCTACGGGTTCATCACATCCAACTACGAGCAGTTCTCAGACCACTACTATGAGGTGGAGAAGAAGCCTCTGGTGTTTTATGCCAACCATGACATGATGCTGGAGGCAGCGCTCTGGAGGAGCCTGCACCGTGCAGGGATCATCACCCTCTACCAGCGCTGAGGCCAGATCCCCACAGGGGCAAGTCCAAGGACTCTTGTGGCTCTTCTCCTTTTTCCTGAGGGTCATCTTCTCCCTCCTGAGGGCTCTTCCCAGCCCATGGAGCAGGTTTGCACATAGCCAGCAGTGATGTGAGGATAACAGGGAAGCTGAAGCTGGTGGAGAAATGGCATTTCCTCAGGGATCAGTATGATTGAACATAGCCTTTAGGGCAGGCAGAAGCACCACAGCATGTGGCTGTGCCCTGCCAGTCCCGTGAACGTGGCTGTGGGGCAGCATGGCCCCTGTGGAGCACAGGAAGGGCACGGTGATGCTGGAAGAGGATGCTGGAGATGCTGGAAAATGCCTTTCACCTTAAATGCTCGTCACCATGGTGGGACCACAGCAGGCAGGATAAATCCTTGCACTGAGACCAGGTGTCAGGAGGTGACATGTCTGGAGAATTCCTCCCTCCAGAAAGACTGCAGAAAGTCCCAGCTCTAGCCAGCAGCGTGTGGATGTGTGCCACGTTCCAGAATGATCTGTTTGCCTCCCTGATCAGCACACAGACAGCAGGACAGACACAATGGGCCCTGTCACTGTTCCCCTCTTGAAGTCTGCTGTTTTCTGACAAGGAAAGGACTCAAAAGCCATCAGCTACCAGGAGGGTCACGGCAGCTCAGCCAGGACACCAGGAGCATGTCCAGGCTCTGAGCAGCCCAGAGGTGACACTGGCCTCAGCCACCTGTGTGGCACTGGATTTGTTGGCCTTTTCTTGCACAGGGACTCTGGTACCTCTGGCAGCCCGACACCAGGTGGGTCAAAGTGATGATCACTCTTTTAATTTCTTTCCCCAATCCCCAAAAGAGGGGAGGGTCCTGAACCCTCCAGCTGTCGCCCATATACCAGCACTGCTCAGGGAGACCCACCTGGGGAGGCTTCTCCAGCCGGTGGGGGCTGGAGACAGAGCAGTGTAATCACTTTCCCACTTTGTGTAATTACATAAATGTTGAATGATTGTTTTCCTTAACACCTGTTTCTGTTGTTTTTATGAACTGGGGGAGACGGGGTGGGGGGGGGAGTGAGACCCCCCCCCCTTTACGTCCCACAGCAGAGGAGCACTAATAGGGAATAGAGACTTCCAACTGGGGAACAGCTCCAGAGGCAGATGGGGATGGAAAACAGTTTAAATAACGGAAATTCAGACTGGGAGACCTGTTAGCTCTCAGCACAGCCCTTTAACTATTGGAATCCTATTTGCTGTATGAAGTTGGTGTACAGAGATGGCAAAAGATACCCTGGCCCAGAGCCAGGGAACCTCCAAACCCCCTGAAGCTCCCAGCAGGCTGCTCCCAGCTGGTTCACAGGCAGGTTAGGCTCCAAGCCTGTTCCAGATGTAATCTCTAGCTTGGGGCCCATCTTGTGTTCCCACGTCTCAAATTAACCTTTGTTCCCATCAGAGCCACCTTACACTGGTACCACAGCAGCCTGTCAGGCCTGTTTTGTGTTCCCAAACACTCAGCAAAACATTTCATGACACGAACGAACCTGATCCTCACATCCTCTGGCCAAGACACTCTGAAACCTCCTCAAACCAGCTCTGGCCAAGCCTCAGGTGCCATCAGCAGCACCGTGACACTCAGGGCAAGAGAAGCAGGATGTTGCTATCATGGTGCTGCAGTCCTGCCTGGAATCGCCCAGCTCACAGGCACCATATCAGGAACCCCAAGCAGCACCTTCCCTTCCCCTCTCAAAAAGAGATGTTCCCAGCCAAGGGTGGAGCCTGGTGCTGGAGTTAACTCCATTTTAAGGACTTACTCATGGCTGTACTCCCAAGCACTCCACGAACTGTTTGGCACCAGATCTTAGCCATAAGTTAGTTTTGTCTCACACTGTTCTCATGAATTACTTCTAGGACAGAATCTGCAGATACTGAAGTGTTTGTGTTATGGGTTTGCTATGAAGGGTAAGCTCACAACTGTAATTTCAGGAAGGGTTTTAATGCAAAATCCTTCCTACCTGCACAAAACCATTTTTGTTCAAGAAGAATCAGAATCATTACAGTTGGAAAACACCCTTTAAGAGCATGGACTCCAACCTTTACAGAAATAACCAAACAAAACCCAACTTCGACTTGTAAGATTTTCCACAACTTATTTTATTCTGGAACAGAAGAAAGCAGGGAACCACTTTTTCCTCCAGTCAACTGTAGATCAGTTCCTGGTGAAAAAAAAACAAAAAACAAATGTATCAGAGCAACTGAAAAGTTCCTCTTTTGCACTGTTTAATCTGGAGTATAGGTCTCAGGAGACAAAACGTTGCTCCCACCCAGGCCAATAGCACTAGTACCCAAATCCTTTTTGGTTTTAGTGGTCCCTTACCAATGGTGTGGCTGCAGCAACCACTGAGCAGTGAGGAGGAGCCTGTGGCCACTTCACATGATATATCAGCAGTCATTTGTGACACTCATTCCAGAACAAACTTCCTTCTACATCTGTGAGAAACCACAAACCAAGGCTGGTAACTGTTTTCCTAAAAAAGTCCATTCTGAAACAATTCCTGCCCCTCTGGTCTCAAAGCACTGAGTAACTTTTACTTTTCCCATTTATCATCAGGTTGCCTCTCCACTTTGCTTTCCCTTGTTACACCTTGGAAGCCAAAAGCTCCAGGTGCTTGTCCCAGTGCCTGATCCTGCCTGGGAGACAGCTGTGCTGTCAGAGCCCCAGTGTGCCTGATTTGTGGTGCCATTCCCTCCCCTTTCACAAACCAACCTTGATTTCTGACGACGTTCCTTGTCACCAGCTCTGCTGGGCGGCCTGTCAGAAGCTGTTATGACCTCCTGCAAACAAAGCCAAATTCTGTTCAATAAAGCATAAAATCATTTAGCAGAAGGCAGCTGTCAGCTGCCTAAGACAAAGTGCTGTTCTAGCCTGTGTGTTCAGTGACTGTACATCAGGCGAGATAAAAAATGTATTTCTTATCTGCCCTTCAACCTGTCACTGTTTGCACAAGGAACTTGAAAGCTCTCTGCAGCTCTAAACTGTGCTATGACAACAGCAGCTCTGCAGCTGTGTCTGTGCCTGGGACTGCACCTGGCTGCTGTTACACAGCACAGGGTGGCAGGACAGGGGACAGATTCTGTCATACTGGTGCCACTCACACCTGTGGACTCTTTGCAAGGGGCAGGGGACCCACCAAGGGAAGTACCTGAGCCTCAGTGAACATTTTCCTCCTCAAGCTGAGTGTCAGACAGGGATAACAGCACATCATAGGCTCAGTGTCTGTCCCACCCCAGCTACACAAACCCCCCATGTTCCCCAAAGCCACACATAGTACAGATACACAGCTGTTTCCCTTGGGATTTTTCCTGGTAAACCCTTCAGAGATTCAGCTCACAAAGTGACTCAATGTGCCTACAGGCCTGGCATATAATTAGTGAATTAAAAACAAGCAACACACAATACTGAAAAGTTCAATTCTCTTACCAGCCTGAAGCCCAACATAGCAGCTGTCCTCTGGCCAAAGCTGTTTTTGGGCAACAGCAGCCCCAGGATCCTGCAGGACCATTTCCTCCTAAATACAAGTTGCAATGAACACTGTTAGCAAAAGTACTTTAAATAAAGTTTGTCCTCTTTTCCTCATCTCTCCAGAAAGAACCCCAGCACTGGATCACAGAGCAAGAATTAGACAGAAACTCTCCATTCAAAGATAGGCAACTTTTGTCTCACACTTCGCAGAGCAGAAACCTGTCCCTCAAGACACAGAAGAGCATGTTTGCCAGGGACTGTATCATTCACAAACAGGAAACTTTGGGAGGTGGATGCTATTTAAATCCTTGCTTAGGGAAAAACCCCACCAGCTCTAAGACATTGCTGATTTTAAGCTGTTTCAACCTGACATTCTCCTCCTGATCTTCTAGAAACCTTGCAATCCAACTCGTTCCCTGCACACAAGAATAACCCATCCATCCATGGTTTAATTTGTTTATGGGTTTATCTTAAGAAAAGCATTCACCAGAGCTAGGACAGTCACATCCCCTCAGGTGAAGGATTCTTCAGGGTGTGTACTTCACTGGATGACCCTTTGGGGCAGGTGAGCTGCACCTCCCCACCCCCAGCAACCTGATGCAAGTTTGAAACTGTCCCAGAGCACCCCCAGGTAAGCAAACAGAGCAATTATTCTGTCACTAGGCCTATTTCTGTGACAGATACAGTTATGAGATGAGCTGTGTCAAGTGTCTCCACAATGGGCTGTCATCCAATCCCTCCTACCTCTAATCCTTCTACTCTGGCTCATCTCTGACCATGCTGACAAGCAGGTGCTCTGCAGGGCACCAACACCAGTAAAATTCCCATTCAATCCATGCTGCTTTTCAGCCTGTGCTCCCTGGCAGCAAAGGGCCACACACTCGGGTGGCAGCTGTGACAAAGCTACAGCCTTGATTGGCCTAATTACATTCATCAAGCCGTTGGGGTTTTATATCCCCTCCCAGGAGCCCCAGGAATGCAGAAAGGTATAATCTGAGATAGAAGAGAGAGTCTTTCTTCCATAACCCCCCAAGAGAATGAAAAAACCCCAGACTATACCAAGACAGATACTGCTGTTTCTCACCATTGTGCAGGTGCACTGTGGGTAAATCAGCTCCCCAGCCAAGGGAGTGTTTTTACCCCTTCTTGACACGGTGCCATGCTCTGAAACCGAGAAAGAGGACAGTTAGTGCACGTAACAAACCACTCCTTTACCTTTGTGTCTCTAACACTGAGCCTCAGAGTTACGCTTCCACAGAGGAAAGATCAAATTCAGACAGGGATAACTTTTATCATCACTAGCTCAGCTTCCAGAGCAGCTAAAGAGTGGAGAACCACCGCAAATCGCAAATCTGTTCTTGCCCTCGTGGCTGTCACGCTCCTCACCCGGGTAGCACCGACGCCTGCGGGTACACGTGGCTCCCCTGCCCCCCTGTGCGCGGGGTCTCGGCCCGCTGAACTCCCGCCTCAGGGTGCTGGGAGACAGCCCCGACAGCAGCGCCCCGCCTGAGCCGCACCCGCGGCTCATAAAACGCTGAGCATCGCTCGGGCCAGCCCGCGGTTCCTGTCCCGTCACGGCAGGGCCGGAGCCCGCGGGTCCCAGAGCCCTCGGCCTTGCTCTCTCCATCCACCATGGCGGGGGCAGGGGCCACTATCCCCCATGCATCCCTCGAGCCCTCGCCGCAGCCCTACGGACGGTTGCGACAGCGTACGGGAGTTCCCCGCACACTGTCCCGCAGTCCCCGCGCCCCTTGAGGCCGCCGTGCCCGCGGATGGCGGCCGATGGCGGCTGGGCCCACTCACCACACACAGCTCCGCCGCCATGCTGTCCCAGAAAGCGCAGGGAGAGAGAGCCGCGGGGGCTCATGGGAACTGTAGTTCTGTTCCGTGAGGGCGCATGGGAACTGTAGTCCGGCCCCCTGAGGAGCGCGGGGGCTGACGGGAAGTGTAGTCCCGTCCCTCAGGAGTGCAGAGCGCTCCTTCCCCCCTCATCCCACTCCTTAATGATATTTGCTAATTATTTATTAATTCTTCATGTCCCCTGCTTATTAGGGAGACACGTATAATTGTTCTTTGTAGGCCAGATGCTTCAAAAGGCTGAACATGCATTAGCTCATGGAGGATGGGGCTAATTAGCTGAAATCAGGGATTACTCAGACATTAGTTAGTATATGTGCCACGCTTTGATGATGATTCCAGGATGTACTGTAATTGTCCTTTGCTGTTAAAACCTGACGTGAAATCCATAGGATCCTATTTAGCTTATATATGAAACTATAAATGAAATTGTAATTTATACATGAAACATACACATGATGATTCTATTAAGCTTGTAAATTAAGTCTGCCTGAACATTGACAAAGTGCAAACAGAACCAAGGAGAAGAAACGTAAGAACTGCCAATATCTACTTTCTTGCTTATCCATCCTTGCGATAAAAATCTCCAGTGAATGGGAGTGGAAAGCCAACAAACCAGAATCTGAAAGCAGCCACGTCTGAGTACAGATGCCACTCCTGAAATGTCTGGGAAGTGCAGGATTCGTGGTCCCTTGAGGTGTTTGGATCAGAGGTGTGCTCATGGAAAGTTGCCAAGTTCCCACATTCCCTTTGCTCTCTAGAAAGGCTTGTGCTGTTTCTTTAAGTTTCTTTTAAAAAGTCAACAGGCTGCAGGAGGCTTTAAAAAATAATTAAAAAAAAAAAAAAAAGTGCAAGAAAGCTGTAGAGAGATGCCAAGGTGCTGTTACAAATAAGCTGCTTCCAACACAAGCAGGTGGCTGTGGCGTTCCCCTGCTCGGTGCAGAAACCCCGAACGCTGCCGTGGCTGGGAAGAGCCGCCCGCAGAGAGCTCCGGGCTCCGACATGAGGACACAGGAGCCTCCCTGCCCCACAGGAGCCTGTGCAAGGAGTGTTTGGCCTGGCAGGAAGGCAGATGATGGTGCAGAACAGCAGGAATTAACACAGCCCTCACTGGAGCAGCCTTTGCTCCATGAAGATTTGGCTGGCGATCCGCCTGGCTGCTTTTAGCTTCCTAAATAAGCAAATATAACCCATCTCGTTCAGATGCTAATAGAATTAGCCCTTCTAGGTCCCTAGGGAGGCAAGTTTTAAAAAATAAAACAACTAAAATGTCCCTTAAGCAGAGTTGAGATCCTGGAAGGAGAGAAGATGTAACTGGGATGTGCTGAGAGGTTTGCCACTGTCTTGATTTTTGGGTGGAAGCCGTCAGCCCACAGAGCCCGTGTGTGCCTATAAAAGGATAAGCTCTGCCAGGTACTAAGTAATGAATGGAGTCAACAATTAAAAGTCGGGAGAACAGCATGAGCTAAGTGTGCAGTCACTTGGACACAATAATTCATGTTTTCAGTGCAGGGATAATGTTTCCAAGGATATCTTGGAGTCAGAACAAAGACTCTGGGTGAAGAGCAATAGCCGTCGCCTCGCCCATGCCCACGCTGTCCTAATTCTCTGCAACTTTGTGTGGGAATTAATCAGATTTTCTCAGCTCTTTCCTTTAGAGGGCGACCATGTCCCACAGATCTCTGGCATGGAACCTTCACCAGGAGCTGCAGGACAAGGCAGAGCCTCCCCGAGGTCAGCAGGATGTGGTGGCTTTTCTGAGGGCCTGTGAACCTTCCGAGATGTGAAGGAAGTTACAGCCTTGTCCGAGAGTTGTGTTTGAACATACTCTCCTTCCTCAGGCAGCTGCTCCTAAGGGCAGTTGGGACATAATTTGGATAGATTTCCCATGGCCAATCTCCATCAGTTATGGTATTTTCTTGCTCTGAACGGTTAAACAAGTAAGCAAATCTATGAAAAGGGCATTCAGATATTCTACACATGAACTTTTGGGAGCTCTTCTCAATTTCCCTGCAGAGGATTTGGAGAGGATTGCTTCCTCCCACAAATCATGTGAAAGATCAGTATCTGACAGAGGAGGGAAGGATTGAAAAACAAATGGAAATCAATGACAGGACCACTCCATCTTCAGCTGGGCTTTGATCCCATGCTCAGATTGAAGAACAAGGTCATCTCTCAGTTTTCCACTCATTTCTTCTCTTAGCTGCCTGTAAATCCCTCGAGGGAGAAACTCTCCATGCTTATTGACAGTAATTTGATTTCCTCCTGATTTCCCCTCTGCCTGGCCTGGTCCCACCCCGCAGACAGGGCTCCACAAAGCCTGGAGAAACAAAACATCTGGGGGTTCAGAGATGTTTTGCCGTGCTTATCTTTGACATATGGCCAGGGGGAAGCAGCTAGGGTTTTTGAACCATTAAAAGGCCAGTTCCTCCCTGGCAGATCCCAGCCTCCTGCCAGGTTTCAGTGTACAGAGCAGGAGGAGATGCTGGGATGCAGGGATTGATGCTGGTTTCTGTCAGAAATTCTGGGTGCCCAACAAAAATAGTCTCTTCAGGTAAGACTGGAGATTGTTTGCTGGTATTTCAGGTGCCAGACTTACAAGAGAAAAGATCTGTACTGTTAAAAAAAAAAAAAAAGCCTGCCACAAGGTCCCTAGATCCTGGTGTCAGTTGCTTCAAATCAGTCCTCTGAAATGGCAGAAAGGCTCTTTGGAGCTCAGCAGCAGACAAGAAACGTCTTCCCACATAGGACAAGGCACACTGCAAACAAAACATCCTTCCCTGCTCCTGCCAGCAAAGCTCTTAAGCCTTCATTTAATATTAAATACACGTTTAAACCTAAGCCCATTCCTCAGCATGTCTCATGTGCTTATGTAGAACTTCAGCAGGCTCAGGAATGCTCTGCTGTAGCTGGAGGCCTGTGTACTGCATAACAAGAGCTTTATGCTTACAGAATATCTGTGCAAAAAAGGGATGGCTTTTCTAGGATGGATTCTGCAGGTTGAGAAGAGAAAATATTCCCCTTTCTCCTGATGGTACAGAAGAAATTGCAGCTCCAGCCGCTCAGCTGTTCCTCTTGCTCCTTTCCCTTTTTCTCAACTGAGTTTTGGGCACAGTGCAATAAAACCAGTCTCAAGATACTGTTTTTTGAGTGTAACACAGAATAGATCATGAGGAGATTGTGTCAGAGTGATGGAGACAAGCTGATCAACACTTTTGATCCTTCAGGTCTGTGTCCCAGCCAGGCAAAGTGACCATCTCATTAGAATGAGCCAGATCCTGTTCCCAGCTCCTTGGAGGAAGGACCAGAACAGAGAACACACACAAAATGTTCCAATGACAGATAAATGCACAGATAAATCCTGGGGCCAGACAGATACATTTGTTGAACAGTAGAAGCAGGAATCCACCTTCTCCATGGATGAGTATGTTTAATTGAAATATACACTCCCTGAGCATACCCAGAGATGGGAGATGTGTGCAGCTACACAAATGCACCCAAAGGTAGCAGGAAAACTTTAACATTGTAAAGCTACTGAGACCAGGAGAGAGATTTCCTTTTAGGCCAAGTTAGAGGAGCAAGGAAAGGAGAGTTGTCCTTGCTTTGGGCAAAGAGATGGATCCTCTCTCTATTTTCTGTGTCAGCCTGAGTGATTACAGCACAGTAAGCAGAAAGGGAGTCAGCTGGTATAAAAATACCCAGGTAATATTAATGGGAAACTTCTCAGACCCTCTTTTATCACAGTATTTCTGTTTGCTTGGATTCCTCAGCCAGACAGCCATTGGTCCAGCCATCCCCATCTGCACTGTGCTGTAGGCAATATTTCATCTATCAGGCTCAGATACCAGAAATATGCTGGGCATGCACAGAGCAAACAAGCATTTTCTTGCAAGTAATTAACATAAGCTGCACCGAGGTCAAGCAATTGTGTCAGAGCACAATGCAAATCAACATTTCTTCCTACTGCAGATGGAAAATGGAGAATTGTAAATGCCATATCTCCAGCTCACCTCTTGCTTCCCACCATTTATTCCAGAGGAAGGAGATAATTGTTTTGAGGTACTTTCAAGAATAGCATCTCTGCTGCTTTCATTGCTTAATGGAAAAAAAAATATTCAAATGATGAAAGGTCACATTATTTCAGGACCTTTTAGCTAATTTTTCTTGCCCTTGTGCAGGGAAAGTAGGCCAAATGCCTAATTTGAGCAAGTCTGAAGGTAAACTGAGGCATTTCAAGATGACAGAGGGCAGCTGGTTAAAGGACAGTGGTTATTCCTCCTGCTGCCTGTGAAAAGGTTTCTTGAGAACAGTTTCCCAATGACATCTGCTTGAAGGAGCCCTGCTGCAGGGCATCAGACCAAGGGCCACCCAGGCTCATGTCATTTTTCCAAGAGATGTCCAAAATCAATGCCTAGGGAATGCAGGAGCAGCGATTACTTCCAGTACATCTCCCAGCTCCTTTCCAGCCACCAGCCATTTGAGGGGTGCAGAATCTGAAAACTAGTGGTCAGTTCTCTGCCCCTGCTAATGAATGTTCCCTGGAACAG